TTTGGCTTTTAGTCCATTTGTTTCTGGCATGTAATTGTGTTAAATATTCTTGGGACCAACGGCGCCAAAAGTCTTGATACATCTGGCTTAACATCTTCCATCGGAATAGTACACCAATCTTTGTATTTAGCAAATTAGGTTCAGGTACGGCAGATGGCGCTCGTCCAATCAAAAAGTGTCCTGGTGTCAACGCTGATAAGTCTGTGGGGTCATCAGATAGAGCCGTAAGCGGCCGCGAATTTAAACAATTTTCGACTTGTTTTAATAACGTGTAAAATTCTTCAAAAGTTAAAGTTGCCGTGTTTACTACACGCTTAAGATGAAATTTCATGCTTTTTACTCCTGCCTCCCATAGGCCACCAAAATGAGGCGCTGCGGGTGGTATAAAGTGCCAATTTATGCCAACGGTTGATGCAAACACAGACCCAGCTTCAATTTGTTTTTTAAATAATTTAATTTCATCTTTCATTAAAGCATCAGCACCGACAAAGGATGTACCACGATCGCTGTACATATCTGAGCATATGCCACGGACTGATACAAATCGCTTTAACGCTGCTAGAAATGTTTCAGATGTCATATCACTCACAAGTTCCAAATGAATAGCTCGTGTAATAAAACATATAAATAGAGCCACATACCCCTTGTAAGTACGTTGGCCTCTCCCTCTTGTCGCTCTCACATTAAATGGACCAGCATAATCCACGCCCGTGTGCATGAATGGCTGTGATATATTACACCGTGCTGGAGGTAAGTTACCCATAAGTTGTGCTTGCGGTCGACAGGCTTGACGAAAACATGTAATGCATTTGTTAATCACTCTCTTCACAGCGGATCTTCCTTTAATAACCCAAAATTGCCGTCGCACATATGCTAATGTTGTTTGAGTTCCGCCATGTAATGTTCGACTATGAGCGTGATTAATAATCAACGTAGTAAAATCATGACATTTGGGTAATATCATTGGACATCGTTCATCTGAAGGAATATTCGCATTTTGCAGTCGTCCATTTAGACGCATAATTCCGTCGGAATCAAGCTTCGGATTCAATTTAAACAATTTACTTGATTTGTTGATTGGATTGCCTTTCCGTAAAGCGGCATAATCGTTGGTAAACTCGGTCCTTTGTACAATTGTTACTAATTTTTTAAGAACCGTATAACGTTCTTGCCAAGTGCAGAAACTTTCATCCCTACGCATCCTTTTTTGACACATATGAATAAAACGTAGGCATTGCGCCACGACTACGAGTAATTTGTCAAGAGTAGCATATCGTCCAAATATTTCTCACACTTCTGTTGATAACTGCGTAGTTAATGAGTTAATCTCTTTTTTCTCAGGTAAACTGTCAGGAGTATGATTGATTTGGTGGTTAGGCCACATTTTCTCATTTAAGCGAAGCCAAGATGGTCCATACCACCACATCAGATTATCTTTTAGTTGCAAAACGGTACTGCCTCGTGATGCACAATCAGCCGGATTATCCTTTGTTGCAATATACCTCCAGTCTTCAATATTTGTCATTGACTGAATTTGTGACACTCTGTTTGCCACGAACTGCTTCAATTTGCCTGGATCAGTTCTAATCCACCACAGTGTGGTTGTATTATCAGTCCACAAAATACAGCGTGATAGTTGACACTTAAATGTTCCTTTAACCTTGTGTAGAAGTTTTGCTGCTAGCAATGCTGCACATAATTCTAAACGTTGTATAGACGTTTCTTTCAACGGGGCTACCTTAGTTTTACTAATAAGCAAATTTACAAAGCTGGTCGTACCGATGGTTGTTTTCGCATATACTGCAGCCGCATATGCTTGATTTGATGAATCACCAAATGCGTGTAATTCAATTGCACTTGTCGAAGTGGTGTTTATCCAACGTGGGATTCGAATGTGATGTAATTGTTGTAAGTCAATACGAAAGTTATGCCAAATGTTTGCCATCTCTATTGACAAGGGATCATCCCAATCGGATCCAGTACGCCAGAGTTGTTGCAGAAACATCTTTCCTCGAATGATAACCGGAGCCAAGAACCCAAGTGGATCAAATAACTTCGATATGTCAGACAACATTAGTCGTTTTGTGTAATGATGGTTGTCACAAGTTACATTGACGCTGTAACCAAAACTGTCGGATTTTGTATACCAAGTAAGACCAAGTGTCTTAGTTTTATACTCGGTGTTAATTTCCACATCGTCGGCGTGAGCTTTTACGTCCTCAGTCAGAGTGCTTAAAACGTCATTTGAATTCGAATTAAATTTACGTAAAGTGAAGCCTGCAGTTGCTAGAAGCTCCTGAAGTTCGTGCAATTTTTCTGCAGCTTCGATTGGAGTGTCTCCACCTGATAGTACGTCATCAATGTAAAATTCATTTAGAATCGATTCAGCTGCCCGTGGAAAACGAGTTTGCTCCTCTTTTGCCAGAGTACGCAATACTTTGATGGCAAGATATGGAGCACAATTAGTCCCATATGTTACAGTGAGCAACCGGAACGTTGTAGGGGCGTCCCCGTGTCGAACGCGCCACATTATTCGTTGCAAATCCACATCTTTGCTATCAACAAGAATTTGCCTGTACATTTTCTCGATATCTCCTGTAAACACTATAGGGTAATGCCGCCATTGCAAGATGATATTTGATAGATCATTTTGTAATCTGGGACCTATATGCAGACAATCATTAAGAGATATTCCGCTCAAACATTTATTAGAAGCATTGAAGACTACGCGAAGCTTCGTTGTAGAACTCGATGCTTTATAGACACCATGGTGAGGAAGATAACATGTTGAAGCTACATCATACGAGTGTGGCACCACTTCCATATGGCCACAGGTCTGATATTCGTCCATGAAATCTTGGTAGAGTTTGTACATATCCGGATCTCGGGTTAATCGCTGTAACGTGCTGTTTAATAATGCAAGTGCATTTAGTTTACTTGACTTAAGTGTTGCCAAATCAGCTTTCTGCTTGATTGGAAGTCTAACCACATATCGACCCGTTGCGTTGCGTACAGTTGTACGCTCAAAAAAATCTTCACAGTACATTTCATCTTTTGTTAACGGAGCGTGGTTTGTTATTTCTTCCAATTCCCAAATTTTATGTAGCATTTCGTGCAATGTTGCCCGAGTATGACAGCAATTAACTTGTCCTTTCACTGAAATACCCTTTCGTCGCGACAGTCCACCAAAAATTACCCAACCGAGTTGCGTATATTGGGCAACAATATTGTTAGTTGGATGCCGTTTTAGTCGCTCATAGACAATAGCAGCATAATCTGAAGCGCTCAAAATCATATCGACTGCCCCCGGAACCTGTAATTGAGGATCAGCTAAATCTAAATTCATGAACTCACCAAGCGCTTCTTTCGGTATGGGAATGGTTGGGGTAACGCTACCCACTCGTGGAAGTATTAGTGCAACACAATTCATGTTGAAATCGGATTTTAACGAATGGATTGTAAATGAAACCATTCCTCTTGAATTGGCGACCCTTTCACCATTTGCACCACTCACCGGCACTATGACATTTGTTTTGTCCAGTTTTAACCGCTGCACGATGAATTCGCTGACAAACGTTGCTTCCGACGCGCTATCCAAAAGAGCTCGCACAATAAGCTTCTGACCAGAAGGACTCCTTACCTCTATCAATGCAGTGCCAATTAAAACAGTCTGTAGATGTAAAGTTCGAGCACCTTGATTAGCACTGGAAATGTATGTATTATTTGATGTGACAGCGTATTTCTTAGTCGCTTCAGTGGTCTTTTCCGGTATATTTGAGTAATTAGTTTCTCCACCACTTCCACTATGGTCATGTAGTAATGTATGATGCGCTGCATTACATCGCAGACACCGATATTTCGATGGACAATTATGACCCATGTGTCCCGTTCTCAAACAATTGAAACACAATCTTGCAGATCTGACTACCTCATATCTCTTTGTCCCAGTCATTTGCCGAAATTCTGCGCAATATGCCAGTAAATGCTTACCTTGACAATGCACGCATTGTTGAACAGTGGTATGATGGCTTTTCACGAACCCCTTTGTTCTGATAGGTGTTACAAACTTTTTCTCCTGATTAGAGTTATCGGTCATGCTATTAACTACCTCCAGCGAATGTATTCGATTTTCTAAGAAACTGACCAGCTCCTCAAATTTTGGAATTTGTTCTAACCTGGTTGTTGACAGCTCCCAAGCTGAGCGTGTTTTCGTGTCTAATTTTTGGAGAAGGGTAAAGACCAACCAATCGTCCCAATGCTGCACTGGACGACCCAATTGCTCTAACGCACGCACAGCTGACGTGATGGTGTCACATAACAAGCGTAAACTATTTGGTAAACCATCAGACACCGTTGTTAAATTAACAATTTGTTTTAAATACGCATTAAGAATGATCCTCTTGTTCTCATACTTGCGGACGAGTAAACTCCATGCTACTGCCCAATGTGCATCTGTTGTAGTAATGTTGTCTAGGGCGTGTTGAGCGTCCAACACTAACGCATCTTTTAAATATTGAAGTTTCTGTGTATTAGACAATGCAACGTTATTTGATACAACTGACGTGAATAAATCCTTAAATGCGTACCAGTGCAGATAATTACCATCAAACGACGGAATTTTAATACGTGGTAAATTAGACGTCAGTTCCATGCTTGACACACCTTTAATTACAGTTTCGTTATTACCTGGAGATTCTATAACTTCAGTGCTTTCTAACTCATCGATTAGCTCTCCCATCATTTCCGAATAAATTATTTCAATTTCCATGTAACTGTCTTCGCTAACTAACGCTTTTATTGTGTCACTCACTTCTTCCACCTTTGCACCGTCATAAATATTGGCCAACAAATCTTCTCGAGCTTCCTTGTACTGCGTCCAGTAACTTTCCAAGAGATTCTTTCTGGCAGTGAAGAAACCTTTTGTTTGCTTGCTTTTTGCCGTTTTCCGTATGTTGGTGGAGAAGTTTTTCAGCAGGGATTGCGTAGCTTCCAATTTTCTGGCGATTTTTTGCATTTTCAGATTTTATGCGAATCAACTGTGATTATTTTCGAAAGTAAATAATTGTGCCCAGCGGCTATAAAATTTGGTAGATATGCCCAGCGGCTATGAATATGAAAGATACGCCCAGTGGCTATAACTTTGAGAAATATGCCCAGCGGCCAGACGAAGCACGCGATCTTCGTAGGCAGCAACACACAATTGAACGCAAAAGATATGTTGCTCCCCGCAAGGGATGCCAAAAATGTTCGTTAAATGCGGTTTTTTCTTTCTTTAAAGTTTCAAAGAATATTTCATTTATTTATCTCTAATATTACTTATCATATAAAACATATTTTTAAATGTAATTAGAACAAAACTCAAACAAATTTACTGCACAACACGAAACACAACCGAACACGACGGATGCTCGTACAACAAGAAGAATGAAACAACTTGCTAACCATTAAAAGCAGCCCACACACAGTGGTTGCCAGATTGATATAGATAATTTTAAACAGACGTTTTTGTGTAATTAGTATTAAGAAAATGTACAATATGTATGTAAAATATATTTTGGCAAAAAATTCAAAACAGTTGCTATTTTATTAAATGTTGACATAACTTTTATTTTGTATCCAATATGACGATATCGCACCATTTGACGGTGTTCGACTTCAATAGGTCGTAAAATGAGTAGTGAGTAAACTCAATGTTAAGCAGATACAGTAAACCAGTTAAGCACGTTTATTTTTGCTTTTTTGTTGCTTTTAATGTAGAAATAAATAAGCTAGAAAATAAATAAAAATACACTTAACTGTTGTAATTTTTGTCTTTTTTATTTAAGTTAACATACACGAAATTCCCTTGCAAATAAAGCATTCAGAAGTGTTAATGCCAAAGCTATGAACTCAACGGAATTTTCGCATGTAGCGACATTATCATCAGTACAAATACTTCAAACGTATTAGAATCTTTACACTACAAACATTCTTTGCTAAAAGTACTAAACAATGCAATTGTCAAGAATTTATTATAAATATTTTGTGTAGACTTATTCCAAATCATACACATAAATACAAATACATATATTTGGGCACATGTGTATCTGTCTTAAGTGAATGGTACTCGTATTATGAATTATAGTATAGGAATAAAAAGAGAGCTTAGATTCAATCAATCTGTAGATGACTACAGAACAGGTTTAAAGACAAAAGCAGGTG